CCCCAACAGGCCGCCCGCCCTTACCTTAATGTCTGCGGTGGCGCTTCGATCTCGCAAGCCATCTGCAAAGCAAGTGTGTTCTTGTTTGCTCCGTACTGAAGACTGAGGCGAACTTTGAAAGAAGCCGCAAAAAACGCACGTCAGGGAACCTCGAGGCATCTGGCGGCGCTGGAGTGTGTGCCAACGCCGGCAGGCGCCAATGGAGGCACCGCGCGGCGCTCTTTGTGTTTCCTCCGCTTGAGTGCCTGCGCCGCACGCTCGCGCGAGGGCGCGCGCGCGCCGCGCGCGGCGCGTTTTGTGTTTTCCTCGCTTGGGCGCCTGCGCCGGACGCGCGCGCTGCGGGCACGCTTTGTGTTTCCCTCGCTCGAGCGATCGCACCGGACGCGCGCGCGCGGTGCGCTTTGTGTTTCCTACGCTTGAGTGCTGCCTCGCGCGCACGGCGCACTTGATGGTTTCGGATGAAGGTGCAGCGCAGTCCGCGTTTGCGGTTTGCACTTTCGCGCTCAGCGACTTGATGCGCCTTTCCTGGTCAGAAATAGAAGGAGCGAGCTGTCCATTTCGCATGTGTTTTGTTTGCATGTGTTTGGTTTGTACGGGCATGTGTGAAGCCGATGAAGTCTCAGCTCCTGGCTTTTAGATTTATGCTCAGACTCGCGCGTGGAAGACCTGCGTGCCACACATGGGGGATTAGCTGTGGAAGCGGAGAAGTGGTATACATCTGCTGCGCATTCTTCAATTCTATTCGATGACAGAGCCGGAGCTAGACGTATCAAAACGGGGTGAAACTATTGGCCTCTCACTGCATAGTCTTGTTGATGACGAGGACCAATCAGTCGGAATTCGTAGTGTACGTGTTCGGTTCTCTCTTTCGAATTGTAGATTGTAGATTGATACACTGGCACGCATGTCAGACCAAAGGAGGTCAAGTTCATGCCTGGGAAGCGCATCGCACACACACTTGGTCACGAGCGGCATGATTCCAGATTGGAAGTCATCACTTGCTGTTCATAGCTGATGCTTGGATGGATGTGCAAAACGCCAACTGTCGCGTACGGAAGTCCTGCTCTTGCTCATAGTGGACGGTGATGATTTCCTTGTTGTGTCTGGAGATTTTGACAATGGCGCGTGGTGGCGGCAATCGGCAATCGAGTTCCAATGAATTTTGGCCTGTCTTTTGCAAACATTGTCACTCTCGTAGTGGCCAAGCAATCGGATGTCAGATGGTCGTATTCAGGGTCGTTGTTGTTGGCCTTGGTGCCAAAACATCTGAACATACCAAAGGTGGCGCTCCAGCTGGAAAAGCAATCGGATATGCACCGTGCCAGGAGCTCGATTTGCTTGCTTGTTGCCACGGACGAAACATGCGATGGGTCTTGCGTGCCATGATTTAGCCGGCTTGTGTTTTCTCGTCCTTATCCTCAAAGAATGCGTCTGCTTCATTCAGGCAGATGATCTGTGCGGAGTTGCGTAGAAGCATCTTGGCGACGGGCGTGTCCTTCATCGGCCTGTGTCGCAATTCGTGATCATTGATCTTCGGATTCTTGTTAATATTGCAATGGTTCATGGTAAGCGCATTGATCTGCATGGAGGAGGTGAACACATAGTTCTCGTCATGCTCGGCGTGGGGGCGAGCGTGAGATTGCCCAGGATGTTTGATGTCGGACCCATAGTCCTCTGGTGCATTGTTGATGTGGCAGCACATGGCATAGATCGTCTTGATGAAGGTCATGAACTGTTCGGACTTGTTGCCTCCGTATCCCCGGAAGGTCGGATACCATAGGTCATTGAAACGGACCTTCAACCAGCATGGCTTCTTTCTAGGTCCTCTCTCGTGTTCCGGGACGCAATAGAACTTGGCATCGCTAGGATGGTGCTGCGCTCAGGTAGTACGCTTCCACGAATTTCTAGGTCCCTTCGGTTCGCGGGATGTCCCTTGCAGGAGTCTGACGCCGATGCGAATACCCCGCAGGTGCCTCATCCCAATTCACGGTTGGGCCCGACGCAGGTGTAAGCTTCATTGTCAGGCGTCTTGGCAATGGTGGGCGGTCACACTCCCCGTAAAGATCGGTCTCAGAAGTTTCGGCGCTGCCCTTGCTTTAGTCGTCAGCCTTCAACGGTGGAGTGGATGGAGGAGTTGCTGGTGAGGTGGAATTCCGAATGGACTTCTTCAATTCCTCGGTACGCTTTTGCCTTTTCTTCTTCTTCGGTGTCGGATTCTGTCGGAATGTCCCCATCACCCTGCTCTACCTCCATGTCTGCGTTCTCCTGTGGATGTGATGTTGTTGAGGCTTCTTCATTTACTTGCTCCACAAAAAGTCGCTTGTTTCTTCTTCGTCATGGGCAGGAGAATCCCGAAATAGGGGATGCACATCTCTTCGCTCTCGTCCAAAAATGTTTCCGAAGAGCGGCGTGTCGACTGTATGCTGGTTCACGCGCAGTCGAAAAACGACGGTTGTAAACCAAGTTAGCTGCGGATGCAGACACATATTTCTTGAGTGTCAAGTAAGGTCAATCGCAAAGCAAATGTCACGGATTGAGGGTTGAAAAGCCCGTCAAAATGAAATGCATCAAATTCCATGAACATGTCTGTCATGCCCAGGTTCCCCAATAAGCAACATGGATTCTGCTAGCCCGGCTCCTGCCAAGGCTACGATGTCGGGCCCGTGTTTTTTGTTGCGCGCAAGCCACTATAGGAAAGCCTTGTTTTGAACACGGTGCGGAAGTGTGGGTGTGCGTCAACATTCAGGAGGTTGCCTGTCAGGACGGCCTTGATCAATTCGTCTGCTTTGGCTGAATAGTTGCTCAGCGAATCTGCAAGGCAATCTTCACTTCGTACATGTGCAAGGTAGTGCATCTGTCCGCTATTGCTTTCCTTCCGCAACATTTGGCTTAAATGCATTGTTTCTTTCTGCTCAGGTTGACGGGCTGTTGAGGCGGTTGTGACAAGATTGTTGGCATCGGCTTGGATGTGAACATCTACAATCTCGCCTGTGATGTCTGACCAGAGACCGCGAAGGAAAAGTGACGAGCCGTAACAACGCATCAGTCCAGGCAATTCAGCAACAGTCGTAGGCATTGTTGTAGCGGTGATGTTATGCGCCTCATAGTCGACCAATGAGCCTTTCGAGTTCGATGAACCCTGACGAAGATCTCGTTCTTCTGCAAGACAGATAACATGCGCACGTTGTGAAGATTTATCTTCATGATTTGCGATAGGGTGCATCTGCATAAACAAAGATGCGTGTCTTACCACGAAGGGCGAGCGGAATGGTTCTGACTGTCTGATTGATGGTGCGAGCGTCGGTGATGCTGCTCTGGACGCACACGTGGAGAATTGGTAGCCAATGTGGAATTGCGTTTGCGACTGCGACCAACTCATCTGACCAAGGACACTTCTGCGCGCAGTGTGCGTCTGAGGCGTGAGTGGAGTGTCATCTGTCATGTTCTTGTCAAAGTTGATCCCCTGAAGTTCGTCAGTGGCAACGTTCTGATGGACATTGATATACCCGCCACGCTTGTCGTCATGCTTCCAGTGGATGCGTTGTCCCACGAAAAGGCAATCATTTTTGTCTCCGGAACCAACCTGAATCTTTTCGCGCCGGTCATAAGAAGGTCATCCACACGAAGAGAAAGTGCTCCATGAACTTGTCGCTTCTGGGCATTGTTACCGGAGACGGGATCCGTGTGGTAATCAACTGCTCCTTCTAAGTCGAATGAATGTATTGGATGATTTCTTTTCACTGATCGGTGTGGGTCGCGAAAGCTGCTTACGGCAGTAAATGTATGTACAACCATCTGCGCGGCTTGGCGCTATCGCGTAGGAACGGAGTGCCGAATCTAGGATGTTCCACCATGATCTGTGCTGCATCATTCAGCCCGTAGGCTTCTTGACGCGTGCGCCGATGTGTAGAGGGTGAGAAAGTGCGCTTGAGCGGGCGAGCTTACCATTTTGAGCGGACTCAGCGCCTTGTTCGGGCAATGCCTCCGGCACGAAGCCCTCCGATTGAAAAAGATGCTTGAGCACCACTGCGACCTCACGACCGAGCTCCAAAGGTAAATGTTGACGGTCGAAACAACGGCCTGCGGCCATCTTGAAACACGGGCCAAGGACAAGTCCTCGGGCGAGATCGTAATGAAGGTGAGTGCTGGGACGCTTTTTTGGCGCTCGCAGCTTAGCCACTTAAGCCCGGACCCACGATGGCAGCGAGGTGTGGAAGTTCTCCGCAGCTGAGCTTCCATCTGCGGTGACTCACAGTGACTTGACTGACCTTTGACATCTTCCTGTGCTTCGCAGCGGCGCTTACTTTGACCAAATTAGAGTGTTTTCGCTGGACATGTGGCGAGTCATGGTAACTTGATGAGTCTTGTGGCTCTGCCGACGACGACGCGTCATTCAAGTTTCTGACCGATCAGCTTCGAGCCTGCGAAACGGCTCCCGCACCAAGAAGGCGTGCGAATTACAGGACCATTTTCTGGGTGTGCGTCTGGCTCAGCCTTGACATTTTCCTGAAGAAAGTCTGCGCTTCGGAGTGCGGCTCGGCGTTCAGCTGCAGAGCTACTCTCTGGATTATTCCCCCCCCATTTTTCGCTGGGGCGCGGGTATCCACAGCTTGCCAAAAAGCGATTCGCACACTTGTTTGATACACTTTTCCAGAAGACCACAGACGAAAGAATTCATCCGAGACAAAAGGAGGATGAAGAATGAGTTTTCAATTTTGACGCGATTTGCAATATCTGTCACCAATCTATACAGAGTAGGCTACGGCGTTCAAACAAGTTTCAAGCCAGCGTTGCAATAGTAATTCAGCGCCGGAGATCAAAAGAAATTTGTGTCTGTATTGCAAGCCAAACAATCCTAAACCAACCTGCAGAACACCTGCCCACAACAAGCTCTAAACAAAGCTTTTGATGCCGCATATTTTCAATGTTATTGTTGATGCTTAACAATCTTTTCTTGACGTTTAGAAGGAATTTCCTTTGCTGGACTGATCCAATTGGAG